AAAATCGTGTTTATTGAAAGTATGTATAAAGTGAAGTGAGAGTATGAATTTGTCTGCGTCTGTAGTTCAGCGTACGCACATTTATATGCATTACATTACCGCGCACGGCTAATGACCTCAGCAGTTTTAATATGATTTGATTTATTTAGTCAAAAAACAACAGTAAAAGCTGTATGTGACGTATGAGGGAGAAGATCATCTGCGCACGTTTTCTTGAGATCCAGAACCCCTTCCCATCATTTTAACTAGAAATAGTTTAAGTATTACTAAAAATTTAAAATAAATAAATAAAAATATTAGTTTTAAAACCGCGAGATTAGCAATATTGGGAAAAAATAGACATTTTCGTTCCCGAGTTATAGAAAAGTTATTTGCATCGGTAAACGAATTGTAAATATGATTTTTCTGCATTGCTAACAAAATAGTAACTCGCCCTTACCTCTACTTCTACTATTTCAAGCAAAAGGAGAGTTCAACAAATCGTGCGCATAGTGAAGCTACATTTACGTCCAGAAGCAAAACAAGGGACCATCTCAGCATTTGCTCGATGGATGAGGGAAACTGGACAAAAACCTGATCGAGACGGGACCGAGTTAACGCGCCCGGAAACACTAATCAAAATCCATCAACGAATGAACCGTCGTAGGCATGTACATGGTGAACTACGACCCGACCAACTGGCAGCTGCTGGCGGCGTACCTGGAGGCGTCGGCGGGCGGCGACGGCGCGCTGGCGGCGGTGGATGTGGGGTCGCGCGCCAAGCTACTGCACGACGCGTGGAACCTGGCGCTGGCGGGAGAGCTGGCGTTCGGCGCCGCCCTCAACATGACGCTCTTCCTGCCCCGCGAGACCGAGTTCGCCGTGTGGGACACCTTCTTCACCATGGTGGACCACGTGGGCCGCCACACGTCCGGCACGCCCGCCGGGGACAAGTTCCAGGTGAGGACGGCGGTCACAAAACATCCGCGTACCCACATTCCCACATTGATGTTCAACAATCAAATGCTGATGTTAATGCAATAAAATCTGACTAAACTGGAACCTGTACAAGCCGAAAACCTGACTGAGTAGGAACATTTCTCCGACCCATTAAGTTAAATGGCATTTTACTCAGCATAAAACGGAACCTGTCCAACGCGGAAAAGGGACGTTTCTTCATTCCCAGCAGGCAAAAAAAAACTTTATAAAACATCTCTAATAGTTCGATTCGCGAATGTATATTTCCCTACGTCTATTACCTGACTTCTTGTTTGAATGTTGTGCATGTGATCCGCTCTGCCGAAATATGTATGTTTAGCGTATTGTCAGCGGCACTGCGGACGCCAGTGACGTGGCGTGTGTGTGTG